CCCCAAAACCCCAAAACCCCATTTAATATAGTATAACATTAATTAAAATAATATAAATTAATAAAATAAATGTAAAAGGAGGGAAATATAAATTAAGAGGGGCAAAATTAGGCTGAGAAGAAACTAACTTCAAGGCAAAAGAAAAAACACTTAAAAAATTAAGGAATGACAAAAAAGAAAAATCCTAAACGGAAACTTAGATCATTTATGAACCCAGATTCGAACTTTATTAGATAGGACATACTAAAGCAAAAAGAAAAAGCAGTAGGAGGGGATTAAGCTATGCAATCGGAAGAAGAAGATTAATTCCAGCATAAGTCTCTTATTTAAAAGATCAAATATCAAATAGAATTTTACCTTGGTGATTCTAATCTAGTTAAGGATAATTATTTAAAAGAGAAATTAAGCAAAGATCCTTGCTTTGACCTATCTGGATTTTTAGATTTTAATAGGATAAAGAATATATTCTCTGAAGCTGAAGCAAACTAAATGAAGGACGATGATTAGATATAGGCTTCGAATGAAGACAGGTTGAAATTGATAAGAGAGGCTTTGAAACCATCAAAAATGCTTAAACTATCAAAAGATGGATTGAAAGTAAAGAGGAGAATTCCTTTCAAAATCAATTAAGTGGATGTTTAATAAATGGATGAAAGCATGATATATGTGGAACGTTTTCCCTCAAATATTAATCATGAAAATTTGTGCAATATTTTTAAAAGAGCTGGTAAAGTAAGGCATGTCAGTCTACCAAAATATAAAAACAGTGGAAAACATAAAGGCTTCGCATTTATTGAATACGCTTAAAAGGAAGATGCTCAAAGAGCTATATAGATGTTTAATAATACTATTCCAGAGGAATTTGTAAATCTTAATCATCCAAATTATATTCAAAGTGAAAACGACTTAAGAAGCTTAAATGTTTTATCTAAATTGGAATGGAATGTAAAGAAAAAGGAAATTTAAGAAATCAAGAGAGAACTTTCTTTACTTATGCCTCATAAAACTTATGTTTAAAAGCAGACTCTTGAAGAAGCCTAAGCTCAAGAGGAAAAGAAAATGAAAGATTCAGACGAGTCAGTTGTAATAATCTATGAGGAAGGATCAATTTTGAAAGTAAAAAATCTACCTGATAATATCTTATAAAAATATCAACTTGCAGAATAAGTTAGACACTTTTCTGAACCCACTTATGTTGAATTGCGCAAAACTTAAAAAGAAGGGTATATTAGATTTTAGTCAAAGTAATTAGCAGATGCCTTTCTCGAAAAAATAAGTCCAAAGAATATAAAAGAGGAAGAGCTTCAGAATATATAGAATGCAGGCAATATCTTTTTAAAAGAAGGAAGGGATAAAGTTTAAATTACTTAACTTAAAAGTAAAGAGCTAAAAGACTATGTGGAATAGGCGAAAAAGGAGCAAGTTGAGTATCATGAATACTTAAAAAGAGTAAAAAAATTCAAAAATCTAAAGAGAAGGTAGAAAAAAGCAGATAATAAACAGCATTAAAAATAATAGAAAGAGGCCAAGGTATAGCCAGACTAGGCTACAGAAAATTAAAATAAAAAGAATTAAAAGAATGTACAGAAGAAATCTTGAATCAATTAAATAAGCTTGTATCTTTTAACTTAATTAGATAAGCCTTATTACAATATTTTTCACTTTAGATTTGAGGGGTTTTGGGGTTTTGGGGTTTTGGGG